ACCCACGTCTTCACCTCAGAAACATCATCCAATCACCAGATGCTCCATAGAGATAAGTGCACGTTTTGTCATATGCTCCTTTGCGAAAAACAGTCACAATGTCCACGTCCTGCCCATTTATCACCATGAGTCGCTACACGGTCGGCTGCAATTGATCCCGTTGTGGCGTTGTGACGATTGCTCAGATGTCTTGAAAGTAACGACAAATTACGTATTATCTCAACTCTGACTCTAACTAGTGATTGACAGCTCCAGCTTTAAGGCAAAGAATTTAAAGAAGTTTGGTTGGGGCCACCTATATTTTTGATTTTCCAATTTGCTGAGCAGTGTAATGGAGGGCGCTGCGAACGAATTTGACATTTTTAGCACAAGATAATAAGCTACTAAACATAAATTTTTTAGGATTTCAACTGAAAAACCAACATTTTGACACGTTGAAAATGACCTTCTAGGCGCTATTCAGTATCTAGGGGGCACTTTTTTCGGGTAGCTTTATGTAGATTTCAAAAGCACAACGAGAGCTTGGGAAAATGAGTTTAGGTTCAGTTTAGGGGCTTTAAAGTGCATAATTTAACCGACTGATTACGTTTCTGCTCAAATTCGGCGAAACAAAATTTTTTTTCAGGTCTGGACCATTTGGTCCTCCACATGAGTCAAAATCTCAAAAATATTTTTTCACCATTTGTTTTGCTCTCTACCAGTCAATTTAGGTTAAAAATTTAGCATTTAATAGTAAAAGTGGTTTTAGGACTAGTTTTGACCTTGAGAAGTGCCCCAATAGTCGATAGCTTGCGTACATAAATTTAAAGTTGCATTTAAAGTGCAAAAAGTGTAGTTTTCAACGTGTCGAAATACAGGCTTTTCGATTGAGAACCTATTCTAAAACTGTCAAATTCGTGCTCAGCGCCCTCGATTACCCCAAGAAAAAAAGAAAAAAATCAAAAATATAGTGCGTTTCAAATCCTTAAACGCACGCCTGCTGTTGTTATTTGAAATTCTTCGTTTGTTGTGCATATTTTATTATTAAATTTATAATTTTTGTTAAAGTCCGGGTAAATGGGACACGGAAAGCTACTCATGGATTATGAGAAGGGCCAGATTGATTCCCGTTTGAGGATTGGCGACTCAATCAGAAAACTCGCAAAAATTTTTAGCCGTTCCGACTTTGCCATGCGAAATTATATATAAAGTCGAAGTTCGTTTCTACACCAAAGAAAGCCAGGACCAAAACCCAGCTTACACCGCGAGCTAGGCGCCATATTGTGAACAACATCCATGAAAAAACGATCAATGAAGTGAAAACGGAAAGGAAAATCGACTCTTCGAAGTCGGCAATTTGGCAAGACATCAAGGGAAACCCACATATCGATCGACAATTATTGAACATGCAACCGGTCGTGAAGCTTTTGCACAAGAAAGCCTGATTGGCGTTCGCCGAATCATATGAATCAGGATTGGTCTATGGTTAGAAAGCCACTTATGTTTTATTATTTTTTGCGTTTAGGTGATCTTTTCCGATGAGAAGAAATGGAGTTGGGTTGGCAACGTCTGCGAGAGATAAGGCAAAAAATGCGATCGCCGTTAACCTTGCTCACGGTAAGTGCAATTTGATGCAAAAAAATGTCCTGAATTCAAATTTGAAAGAATTTTTCGAATCCGTCTGACAGATTTATTTTAAATCCAAAAAATCAAGATTTTTCCATATAAACGCCAAGGGTCTTGTGCACGTATTGACACAAAATGAGATCAATTGGGTAAATCTGTGAAAAGTTGATGCCTTTTGAACGCAAAAGTAGCGTTTTCAAATCAAATGGCATTTACCGTGAGCAAATTTAACGGCGATCGCATTTTCGCGCGGATGTGGATGGTCCCAATGGCGTTGACTACTATTGGAGGGACCTTCGACGTGATCCGATGGTGTTTGGAACCCGAAACATTGGCGGTGGTTCTGTGATGGTTTGGGCCGCCTTTTGTGCTGACGGAACGGTCGCTCTGAAGATGGTTTCGAATCGGATGATTTAGATAGATGTCTTGAACATTTGCTTGTTGCCGTTCTTGCTCCTAAATCCCACCGTTCTCGATTTGTTTCAATACGACAACACGTCAATTCATCAAGCCGGAAACACCCGAGGCTGGCTGAACAGCAACAACATTGCAACTTTGGACTGACCCGCTCGATCTCTGACGTCAATCCGATAGGGAATTCATGCCGAATACTTGTCCAACCTGCCGACAAAAATCATCGTCAATTTTAAGACGTATATTTGTACCTAAAAAACAGCGATCCGTTTGGCCTGAAGCTATCTCGACGTCTTTGCTTTTCAAAACCTCATCAATTCAATGCCAGACCTCATTTTTCAAGTAATTAATCGTTCTGGTGCGTGTCAGATTATTAGTTTTGATTTTTTACCATTGATTGTTAAGTTGTGTCGATAAATAAAAATATTTTCATCGTGCGTTTCAGAATTTCAAACGGTTTATTTAGCAAACGTTTCTCTTTTCAAAATTTTTACTTTTTACGGTATGCTTATTTCTCGTGTTTTTAGGTTTTAAGACATGCTCTTTCTAATAGAAAAAGATTAATAGTTGTAGCGGTGTTCAAAATGCAAAACTCACTATTTTAGAGGATGCGTTGAAGAATTTGAAAGGCACTGTAGAGGCCCTCGATTGGCCCCAGCCACCAAAACACCAGAAGTGTGTCAAACCATTGTAGGTTGTGCCAAAAGGCCAGGCCCGATCCCGGCCTGATCCTAACGTGCTTTTGATTTTATTTCAGTCAAAATTACATGTTCTATCGATAAGTCTTCATAACCGTTTACTAGGAACTGTTCAAGAACACCTCTAATTTAATTTCCATAAAAGTATTTGGCTTTGCGGCCCGACCTTGATTATAACAAGCTAGTCCATAATATTAGGCTGGCTAGCAAGTAATGACGGATTTGCTGGCAGATGGTCTCAAACTAAACCAAACTTAACGAGCTTCGTCTTATTCGAAATTGCATTGATGGGAACACTGTAGCGAAAACCATTTTTTGATTCGTTCGGTTTTAAAATTTTGATAAGCATTTAAGTGAGCTCGGTCAGACCGAAAAAGTGTCACAATCACATTTCGTCAATTTTCGGTTAAAAATCTAGGCTAAAAATAGGTTTGTTCCCGCAGCACGATTTTCCCGAGTAGACACCCAAGCTTTGGATGCGTTTTTCTTGTGTGTTTTGAATATGGACAAAAACTGAATACGGCATCAGATTCACCGTGTCCGCTTGGCGGTTGCATTTCAACGGCGTCAATATCTGCTAGAGCCAATTTGTGGCACCTTCTTTTAGATCTTTTGCTAAAAAAGTTGAAAAGTTGGTCACAGTTGCCAGTCGACTCCTCGACCCTCGGATCAACGAGTCGCCAAGCCCCGGATAAAATTTAATGATCCTGAAATGTGATTTTGACCCTTTTTTGGGTACCTAGCTGACTGAGTACCACTTAAAGGCTTATAAAAATTTGAAAACGGAACGCATCAACAAATGTTCTTCGCTACTGTGTTCCTCTTGAATACCGCTTTGAATAAGACCAACGATTGGTTAAGTTTGAGACCAGCTCCCAGCAAATCCACCATTACTTATTCGCCAGCCTAATAAATACTGGTCTGACCTGATTTCTTCTTTTGCATCAGGCTTTGATCTGTTCGGAAAGCCACCACGAAATACAAATACCACATAGTTCGCAAATTCCAGCACAGAGTTGTCGTCTCCAAAGCCAACGAAAACCGTTCTCATGTAGTAGTTGTGCACTGTGTGGGTGAATGCATAAGCATTCACATCGTCTGCCGGTAGCACAGCGACTTGCTTTCTAATTCTGAAAATGACAGAAAACAAGCGAGAAACAAAATTTTTTCCAGAAAATTAGCGGTTCCTTTCCGTTATACATCCAAAAATAACCCCTGATCATCAATCAGTGAGGAATCCATGCCGTAGCAATTTGTGGCAACACCCATTCGTAGAATTCGTCCTTTCCCACTTTTCGTCGAACCATCAATTTAGCGAGGTAGTTCGGTAGGGAATGACGTGCCACGATGCTTGTTGTTTCTACATTTCCCCATAGACCCTCGATCGTCTACGTGTAAATGGCCGGGTCATCCGGATACAGGAAGTTGTACTTGTTGTACTCATTGACATGAGCATGGGTAAAGTCGGCCTTCTCCATTTGTTTAATATTGCATCCTCGCCAACAATCGAAGTCAATTCAGGTTCCCGGCTCGATGTGTTCAATCATGGCTTCCAATAGGGTCGGTCACCTCGACCAGAAAACATTTTTGGTTTCCCGGCAAACTCCTCTAAATATCCAGACTTTGCGGCCAGATTCGGCCCACATTCGCCTTTCTTCGAGAAGAGAACCTCGTCCACTTCGACGATTCGAGTGGGTTCTCCAATTTCCCTCTCTCAGCTTGTTCATCAGATATTCCACGCAAGGAATCCTAGCTGTTGAAGTCGACCGCGGTGATTCACCTCAATTCTTTCGCACAATAGTTGATCGAGGTTTTGGAATTTTGGAATTTTGGAATTTTGGTGCTCTCCATCCATGAGCCAAGACGCAGGTCGATCGCTGTCCAGCACGGCGTTTTGTCACATCCGCATCGGGGGTTCTGATTGAGCAATAGCTACATAACGTGATGGTTGGCGTATGTGCGAGTGGTAAGCAAGATGCGGCGTTGTTGGAAGAACAGATTGCATCAGCTTCCGTGGTCGGTAAAAAGGAACATGTTTCCATCGCGCCCTTAGAAAACAGAGCAAGAATTATTTTCTGTGGTTTTCCTTGTTCATTTTCATGGAAGGATGCTAATTTGGCGGATGTATAACGGAAAGGAACCATTTTCGCGTTGATCGTGAGCTAAAACTTACATATTATCGGTGTTAACCAAAAGATTTTGGATTTCCGGAGCCATTCGCTGCATTTTCTTTGTTGTTCATACTGGGTGCTGCCCCATGTCCAATCCTTTTGATCCTCTTTAACTCCGTGATTCTCGGCCATCCAATTTCGAATCCTTTCCTCTTCTTCGGGCTTTTGCATCCAATCTGCCTAAAAAGCTTCCTGCCGCTGCTTCCTCTCGTGGATTTACTAACAACTTTTTTTCGCAATACCTTTAACTATGCGTAAAAACTCACCCGTGTGCCTGTGTAGCATCCAACATTGAGAACGACTTCACCTTTGTACACCCATTTACGCCGCGATCCACAAGTGATAGTTTTTTGTGTCTGAGGGAAAATCCATCTTGTGGTTGATCTGAAAAAACATTTTTGAGGATAAACTGAAAAGAAACTCCCACTCGAACAAGCGCGAAATGGTCTGGATCAGCAATGCACGTGAACGTTCGATCGATCCAAAAATATTTACTGTAATTGAGTGATGAAGATAAAATGAGAAGGGTTGTCTCTAGCGACCAAAAAGCCTTGAGCCAGGGGCCGGAACATAGCTGCGGGCAAGCCTTGATCGAGTCCGAGCTCATCAAGCTTTCACCGGGCCGAGCCGGGAAAGTTTTCGCGAAACACGCTTACTTAGACGTCTCATCGCTCGTAAGGTTTCTCCAGTTGCCACCAGCCGAATGAATGTGAATGTTTTCACTCCGGTTCTTGCACTCTTCCATCCATTCTAAAAATAGCCAATAGACGAGTTGGGTAACAAAAAAAGAACAAAGTAATCGATCGAAACAAACGGGCCTTCATTTGCTGTCACCATTTTTGCCAGTGAAGCCACAAACAAAAAAAACGAATTCTTTCTTCATTTACAGCCAACTGAAAGTAAATTTGATGAAATCAAGATTGTAAAAAGATATAGTTTAGTAAAAAACGAGAAGTTGTTCAAATAATCATCAAAAAATTTATGGGGAAAATAAAGTTTGAAAGTTGAAAGTTGAAAGTTGAAATTTGGAATCTAAAGGTCTATGTGGTGTCTGGAAAATGATTCAATTCTAAAAGAATTTTTTTAATGGAAGACCACATTTTTTCTTTTTCCCATTTAATAAATCGCTCCAAAGAAGTTAATGGAAGAAGAGAAGACAAATTTCAGCGCTTTTACGATCAACTGCAGTACTAGTGAAGTAGCTGAGTAGCCATATTTTTGTTGTTATAATGAATACTTTATTTAGAAATAAAGTGCCGAAATGAAGATTTACAATAACTCATGAAAAATGGAAGATGCCACTATGGAATCAGAAGCCCTCCATTTGTCTCAATGTTTAGTAAAGATTACGATGATGAACAGGGGAAATAAGGTAAGTTTTTAATTACCGTATTCTCTCTAATAGTAGTGCACCCCGGCGAGCCGAGTTGGTGACGATTTTACGGCTTTCAAAGTTTTCGCAGAAGCTCAACACTCAAATCCCCAAAAGATCGATAGGTTCTGATAAGCGGTTCTCGAGATTTCGAGGAATTTAGGCGACGCTTTGGGTGCACTACTATTAGAGAAAGAAAATACGGTATTTACACAATAGTTTTCAAACTATTTTGCTTAGTGATGAAAACTTAAATTGGTCCGGAAATGGCGTGATCAACCGGAATTATCGTCCGAGAATTTTGTTCTTTTTGTTTATTGTTTATTCTGAAATTGTAAAAAGAGAAAGTTTTAGTATTGGAATCTTTTTTTTCTGAGAGCTTCATTCGCAAGTGCTTGTGTTTACTGAGCTGTTGCTTTTAATAGGTTAGGACACACTGGGGTGCCTACTTTGGCAATGAATAGCAGATGTCAAGCAGATTTAGCCAAATTATCCTCAGGAACATTAAGGAACCGGTTCTCTTCAGTGGTTTTTAAAGATCTAGGATTAAAAATTAGCAAAAATGTAAGAACGATGAATCTTAAAATAAACCTTTTTAAACTAAGGTGCTAGACTAGTTTTATACTCCAACTACTTACTATAGTACTCCAACTCCAACTTAATCCAACTTACTTGAACTATTGAAATAAATAGGCATGAAGTCAAAAGAAGAAGCACAAAGATTTTCATTGCTTGTTTTGTGATTTTGCTGGTTATTTGAAGACATTTTTAAGTCTTAAAGGAATCTAAATGGAATCAATGAAATCTAATCGAGAAAACTATTTTAAAGATGTGAATGTAATCAAATATTTTTCAATTTTAAAATCTCAGCTAAATAAAAAGTCATTTTAAAATTTAGGGACTTTGTTTGAAGGCCGCATTTCTTTTTTTCTCTTTTCTTGGGTTACTTGGAATCTTTTTCATGTATTCCTTTATTCAAACGATATGAAGCCGTTAAATGCACAACACAAACATCTCCACATCCAGCTGCACATGGCCGACTCCATGTCTTCACCTCAGTAATCACCCAGTCACCAAATGCTCCATAGAGATAAGTACACGTTTGGTGATTTGCTCCTTTTCGAAAAACAGTCACAATGTCGATACGTCCTGCCCAGTTGTAACCATAAGTCGATGCACGCTCTGCTAGCGATTGGATCTCGCCATTGGAAAGGGTCTGTAAACAGTAAGAAGCTAAAGATGGCTTCTGGAAATGGACGCGCCTGGACCCACTCATTGAAAATCGGCTGAATTTCAAACTCGGGGTTCTGCCGTTTCAATGTGTATAGCATTCAATGTGTATTTTCAGAAATGCGAGCTTGTCCTCATCGAGAAGCGATCGCTATGCTTTTGAAAGCCGCAGAGTCGAAGGCGGCCATCTCGCGAAAGCAATCGACTACGATGCATACAGGGTGGCCGACCACATTTGACGCAAGGTTTTTGACTTGTAGATGATGCCAAATTTATCAAAACCTATTGAACTCATAACCAAAAGTGTAGAAAATTTTCTGTAGTTTCTAAAATTTAGAATTATTTTACAAGAGATCTCCTAGTTTTTGAGTTATGCCCTTTTGCGTATCCATCCAAAAAACGCCTCTGCGCCGAAAGTGATATTGAGGTTCACACGAGATTTGGATTATTTTGAACTCACAGAGAAACCATTTGATGCTAATTTATCGATTTGATAATAGCTATTTAAATGTTGATTAGCTGCTGTCAGCCTGGGCGTGTAAAGATGCCAACAATGTTTTTGTTTATACAAATGTTCTACAAAAGACAAGCTATTTAATTATTGATTAGAAATGAGAACAGTTTAGATTTTCAATGGCATCGTATTTTCAAGCTGATCTTTTGCAAGCTAATCTTTTGATGGCTTCTTGCAGACGAAGCGTGCTCTCGGTGCCCCAGGAGTCCAGCCCCATCCTCGGAGACCGCACGAGCCATGGTTTGCAATCTGGGGAACTTCAGAAACAGTTAGAAGGCTACAACTCACTTGTCCATTATAAAAGTCACCCAACATCCCATTCTGAACATAATCAGCAGGCGATCCATCAGTCCACATTCCAGCTCCAATTGTCGCATTCCCATAGTAGCCAATGTAGGCATAGGAATAGCCACATGTATAATTTCCAGGAGCCACATTGAAAAGCCCATGAACTTGTGATTTGACTAGCTCTGAAGAAAAAAATTTTTGAGAAGAAAATGAGTTTAAATTTGACGATAATTTGACGACATTTATGATTTCGGGCTTTTAAAAACAAGTGATTCACAGCTACACTTACCCATCACAAGGTCATTTTCCGAATCCGAATGAATTGACACCAAATGAGCATCCATTTTTTGACACATCGACTCAGCCATTGTCACGTTGTACAATTCCCAATGAACACCGTCTGGATAGGTGAAATTCTAAAAGAGATCCTAAAAAAGAAATCCTAATGTAATGAAAATCCTTTCACTTACGTGTAAATAATAGCAGTAGTCAGTCTGATTGTTGTAGACCCAACCATAGGGACATTTCAGCTCTGAAATTCATCTTGTAACATTTAGATTGGGATACAGTGGATTGGGTTGGCCACTAAGGAATGAGTCACGTCAAAGAAAAGAAATTTTGTCAACGAGGATCCATCAGAATAGGTCCAAATTTGATTTGAGTTCCGCTCAACGCCAAGTCGCTGAAATAGTATTCTCTTAGTTGAAATTATTTCACTAATTTGAATTGAAAAATTTGTGGATTCACATATGTTCGTGATTTTGATTGGATCACCGCGCATCGAATGGCATTTTGTGAGAACATCGGTATAGGGACGAGCTGAAAATGAGATAATTTGACTTTTTAACGTAGATAGTGTCAGCTTCTAGAAGTTCTAAGCTTCAAATAGCAATGTAAAGAGCCCAATTGGACAGCAGAATCGGAGCTCAGTGAATGAGTGACTTGGCTTATGTGTAGATTCTCATATTTTCTCATGGCCATTTGAAGTCAAATGATTAGGAGGGTGTGCCAGCCAGGGCTGTGAATTTTGAAAGCTCCTAGTAAACATGTCAGATCGGATCGGATCAGGTCCGATCCAAAGGTCATTGATCCAAACATTGATCAAAGCCTTAATAAACTCGGACTGGAAAGGAGAAACCAAAGGAAACGGCTGATCGATCGTTTAATGTTACCCTGAAGCTGGTTCAATATTGGCCAAAATCAAGGTTTAATTGATTCGTAAATGTTATTTTTTTCCTCAGTTTTCACATTTTTAAGTTTTCAAGTAAGCTGAATCAAATTGAGAAAACTCAAATCAAATCAAATGAAATCAAATTGAGAAAACTACTTTAAAGGTGTGAATGTAATCAAGCATTGTTCAATTTTAAAATGTCCACTACATGAAAAGTCATTTTAAAATTTAGGGACTTTGTTTTAAGGCCGCATTTCTTTCTTTCTGCTTTCTTGCGTCACTTGGAATCTTTTTCATGAATGCCTCTATTCAAACGACATCAAGCAGTTAAATGCACAACACAAACATCTCCACATCCTAGTGCACATGGCCGACTCCACGTCTTCACCTCAGAAATCATCCAATCACCAGATGCTCCATAGAGATGAGTACACGTTTTGTGATTTGTTCCTTTTCGAAAAACAGTCACAATGTCGACACGTCCTTCCCATTTATCACCATAATTCGCTGCACGCTTTGCTAGCGATTGGATCCCGTCGTGAAGTTGTGTCGATTTCAAAATGTCTTGAAAGTAACGACTAAAATAAAGTATTATCTCAATTTTTCCAAATTTCGATCATTTGGTCCCCACATGGGTCAAAATTTCAAAAAATATGTTTTCAATTTGTTTTGCCTCTCTACCAGTCAATTTAAGTTAAAAAATTAATATTTAGTGGTTAAAAGTGGTTTTGGTTTTAGGACTAGTTTTGACCTTGAGAAGTGCCCCAATAGTCGATAGCTTGCGTACACAAATTTAAAGTTGCATTTAAAGTGCAAAAAAGTGTAGTTTTCAACGCGTCGAAATTTCGGCTTTTCGATTGAGAACTTATTCTAAAACTGTCAAATTCGTGCTCAGCCCAAGAAAAATGGAAAAATCACAAATATAGTGCGTTTCCAAATTCTTAAACGCACCCTCTAAAATGATGAATTTTGCATTTTGAACACCGCTGCAACTATTAATCTTTTTCTGTTAGAAAGGGCATGTCTTAAAACCTATAAACACGAAAATAAGCATACTGTAAAAAAGCAAAAATTTTCAAAATAGAAACTTTTTGCTAAATCAACCGTTTCAAATTCTTAAACGCACCCGCCTTTGCTGTTGTTTTTTTGAAATTCTTCGTTTTGTTGTGCATATTTTTTTATTAAATTTATAATTTTTGTTAATTTCCAGGTAAATGGCATACGGAAAGCTGCTCACGGACTATGGGAAAGGCCAGATTGATGCCCGTTTGAGGATTGGCGACTCAATAAGGAAAATCGCAAAAAATTTGGGCCGATCCGACTCTGCCGTGCGAAATTATTAGGTTGTTCGGATATAAACGAGCATTTTAGTAGTCGACAAAATTTATCTTAAAAACAGAAACAACACAATTTAATCTAAAATATATTCACCATTATTCTTGATTACTTCTTGCCATCTTTTGCGCAAAGAATTGATGCCGCTATTGAAAAATTCAGCCGGCTGTGACTCGAAAAACTTGGCGACCCAATTTAGATCATCTTCACGGTTTTTGAATTTCTCATTGGCCAGAAAGTTTTGAATCGACCGGAATCAAAGGTAATCTGAGAGAGCCAAATCGGGAGCATACGGCGGATGTGATAAAACCTCCCATCCTAGTTTCTCTAGTTTTTGCTGAGTCATTTTTGCAACGTGAGGTCTAGCGTTGTTATGGATGAACTTTATCTTTGATGTGTCTACTCCGTAACGAATGAGAGCTTCATTGACCCGATCAAGTTGCCGTTTGTAGAGGGCGGATGTGACTGTTTGGCCGGGTTGTAGAAGCTCGAAATGCACAAGGACCTTGTTATTCCACCATACTGATAGCATGATCTTTTTCCCATGAATGTCCGGTTTCACGGTCGGATTTGGCCGTTCTCCTGGTCCTAGTCATTTCCGTTTTCGAATAGTATTATCGAAATGGATCCACTTCTCATCTCCAGTAACGAGAGAATCAAAAAAGCCATGATCTTTAGCGTGGCGGATGAGGATTCCGGGAATAGCGACCCGTGAAGCTTTGCTTGCACTACTTAACTTGTGAGGAAGCCATTTCCCGCATCTGATCGTCTTTCCAATGGCGCGGAGATGCTCATCAATGGTATAATTTGAACATAGAAACTGTTGAGCAAGTTCACGCGTCGTTTGACATGGATCCGGTTCGATTGCAGCCCTCAAAATAACGTTGTCTACCGCTTGAAGTCGACGAAAGTGTTCATCATTCTCGAGACTTTCATCACCATTCCGAAAGCGTCGGAACCAGGTTCGGCATCGGCTTTCGGACAATGCATCATTCCCAAATGCTTTGACCAAATCTCGATGGAATTCCGTTGTCTTATTTGCTCCGTTGAAATATATCCGTTGAAATCATTTGCTGTCACAATTTGTGCGAGTGAAGCCACAAAGAAGGAAATGAATTCTTTCTTCATTTACAAGCAACTGAAAAGCAACTTTTATTTAAAATTAAAAATTAAAAGCAAACATGTGAATTGTAAAAAGAGAAAGTTTAGTATAAAAACGAGATGTTGTTCAAATAAATACTAAAAAATTTGATGAAGTCATCAAATGAAATTTCAAAGTCTATGTTGTGACAATGATTCGATTCAAAAAGAAATTTTTCTGCTAGAATCATACATTTTTCTTCTTTTTTTTCCTAATATTTAGCCTAATAAATATTTAGCTCAAAATAATTTAATGAGAAAATGAGAAGAAAGATTTTAGCGCTTTTACGACAAACAGCAGTACAAACTGTGCCTGAGTGCGATATTTTTGTTTTAAAAATAAATACTTTATTCAAAAATAAGATCAAACACCTAAATTTTGAGCTAAACTTTTCAATTAAGCAGTTACCTAAGCGGGCTAACACAAAGGTTTGCGTTTCCAACCTGATAAAGGTCCTTTCAAATCATGAAGTTGAAAAAAAGTTCTCGGAAAAAATTTGGCTGGAATTTCTTAAAAACGAATCCACGAATGCTTGGCGCATACTTTATAGTTACTTCAATACATTAAACAAAGTGATATTGGATTGGAAAAAAAAGTTCTCGGAAAAAGTTTGCACGGTGATTTCTCAAGAACCAGGCCATCAATTCTTCCCAGATTTTTTGATAAACTCGACTCTATTTCAAAAGGTTTTTGAACAAAAAAATCATAGTGGGCTTCAGGTAATAAATAAGAAACTTCTTCAGCTGACGTGATTGAGTCACTTTCTGAGTGACCAGCCTTTAGACAAGTTTTTAATGGATCACATTTGCAAAATGTTTAACAGAATTTTGATCGATGGAGAAATCCCTAAATTTTGATCGATGGAGATAAAGGTCCGTTCCAAATTATTAGATTGGAAAGAAAGTTCTCGAAAAATTTCCAGAATTCGACAACAAGAAGCGAAAAAGCCGAAAAGCCGTATTTTGACTTCGGATCTCGAGAGATTTGTTGAATAAACGGAAAAAAATGATGGTTTCAATTTTACCAAATAAATAGAGACTAAAATTTTGCATACTCGTAAAATTGGTATTGATATTTTATTGTTACTGATCAATGTAATGATGATCTTGATCGATTTTATTGATATTGATCAATGTTATTGATATTGATATCAATGTAATGATTACCGTATTATAAGTCTATTATGATTGAAACACAAACTTATTGAAGGTGACTGGAATTTCTACAACGAAAGAACCTCTCCTAGAACTAACCGTGGGATTAACTTTGAACCAATTTCGAAAAAGAGGGATAGGTTGCCCGTCCTTTACAATCTTGAAAGATTCTATTAAATCCGTGACTATTAAATCATGATATAAACTTGAATTTTTGGTCTCTTGGAAAATCAAATCAATCGTTGAATCGAGTGCCTTGTTTCTCCTATTGATTTTTCAAAGTTTTCTTGTTTGATTTCGATCTTTCCGAGTTGTATTTTATTACCATTTGCACACTATGGTAAGATGAAACCTATTTTGGTTGGAAAGAAAGTTCTCGGAAAATGTTTGCACGGTGATTTCTCAAAGACCAAGCCATAAATTCTTCCCAGATTTTTTGATTAACTTGCCTATATTTCAAAAAATTTTTGATAAAAAATCACAGTGGGTTTCAGGTAAAAAATACGAGATTTCTTCAGCTGAAGTGCCTTGGTCACCTTTTTGAGTGACCAGCCTCTAGACAAATTTTAATGGGTTAATGGATAGGTAGTGCATTCCATAAAAAACCTAAAATAAAGTATTTAAGACAGGTAACTTTGTGATTAAGGCCAATTTGATCAAATGCTTTCACTTTTCAGAATCACCTATTTTAGAATGGAATCAATGAACAAAATAAGAACCGAATTTAGAGAAATAGGAACCGAATCTAGAGAAATGATGAACCGAATTTAGAGAAATAGGAACCAGTCGGTAAAACGGAGGACTTTGTTTTAAGGTCGCATTTCTTTTTTTTTTCTGTTTTCTTGCCTTACTTGGAATCGTTTTCATGAGTTCATTTATGGAAACGACATCAAGGAGCTAAATGCGCAACACAAACATCTCCACATCCAAAAACTCCACATGGCCGACTCCACGTCTTCACCTCAGAAATCATCCAATCACCAGATGCTCCATAGAGATAAGTGCACGTTTTGTGACTTGCTCCTTTTTGAAAAACAGCCATAATGTCGACACGTCCTTCCCATTTATCACCATAAGTCGCTGCACGCTCTGCTAACGATTGGATCCCGTCGTGACGTGGTGTCGATTTCCAAGGGCGTTGAAAGTAACGACTAAAATGAAGTATTATCTCAATTCTGACTCTGACTAGTGATTGACAGCCTTTAAGGCAAAGAAATTTAAAGAAGTTTGGTTGGGGGGCCACCTATATTTTCGATTTTCCAATTTTCTAGAGGCAATCGAGGGCGCTGAGCACGAATTTGACATTTTTAGCATAAGATAATAAACTAATAAACGTAAATTTTTAGCATTTCAACTGAAAAACCAACATTTCGACACGTTGAAAATTACGCTTCTAGGCGCTATTCAGGTTGGGAAGGGGGCACTTTTTTGTTTTCAAAACCGCTTTTTCTCGGGTGGCTTTATGCGTAGATTCCGAAAAACACAACGAGAGCTTGGGAAAATGAGTTTAAGTTCAGTTTTGGGGCTTCAAAGTACATAATTTAACCTACTGATTACGTTTCGGCTCAAATTCGGCGAAATAAAACTTTTTTTTTCAAGTTTGGACCATTTGGTCCCCCACATGAGTCAAAATCTCAAAAAATATTTTTTCAATTTGTTTTGCCTCTCTACCAGTCAATTTAGGTTAAAAAATTAGCATTTAGTGGTTAAAAGTGGTTTTGGGTCTAGGTTTGACCTTGAGAAGTGCCCCAATAGTCGACAGCTTGCGTACACAAATTTAAAGTTGCACTTAAAGTGCAAAAAAGTGTAGTTTTCAACGTGTCGAAATGCTGGCTCTGCGATAGAGAACCTATTCTAAAACTGTCAAATTCGTGCTCAGGGCCCTCGATTACCCCAAGAAAAAAGGAAAAAAAAATCAAAAACTACCGGAACCATTACAAAAAAAAATTGTGTGTAGAATAAACAAATGTGTTTCTATGAATTTCTTCAATTCTTTTTGTTTTTCTTCACTTCAATCAAAGTTTGGCTCCTTTTTGATCGTTTACATAATTTTGATTTCAACGAATGATTTGTGTTTTACAGGTAGCAGGCGTCACAAAACAATTATTATTCTTATTATTATTATTATTATTATTCTTATTATTATTATTATTATTATTATTCTTATTATTATTATTCTTATTATTATTATTCTTATTATTATTCTTATTATTATTATTATTATTCTTATTATTATTCTTATTATTATTATTATTATTATTACCTTTCTGTCAGTTTCGCGGAAATCCCTCGTCGCGTTCTCCTTTTTCTCGTGCTCTCTTTGCAAGAATTCAACGTCGAGATCGACTTGATCTTGCGTTTCGCGGAAATGTCGAAGATCGCACTAAATGAAAAATCTATATTCTTTCTGCTTTAGCGGTGTCAAAGAAATTAGTTTCATTTTGGTCAATTTAATATCTCGGAAACTCACCGCCATTTGATAAACATGAACGTAAAGGTCTCGGAAATGCTCATACGCTTGGAAATCAAATTTGTCGTCTCTTCTTTTTTCATATTGCAAAAGTTCTTTGAGATTTCTCTCGTAATAGTATCTCATTTCCTGAAAAAAAAAACAAATTTTAATCAAAATCTTTCAGCAAAACCTCTGGAATCGAGACGATTTTGTGGTGATCGTAGAGATCTTGAAATCTTTTCCAATAGATTTTGTTGGTGTTGAACTTCAAGTACTCCAATTTCTGAGCCATTCTCAGATTGACTGGCACGAGGACTTTCTGAAAAAATTGGTTGTAAGTAGAAAAGGGACTTTTTTATCAAGCAAAAAAGTGACTGTTTCAATTTGAGGGGCTACGTTCAAATAATTTCTGTCACTAGTATATCATTTTCAAATAAACTACGATTCTAAGCCGTGTCCCGTTTCTAGCGTAATCTTGTCTTCAATTTTTATCCAGTACATCCACTTTTCGTATCTTTCAATATCCTTTTTGAATATTTATAGAATCAGAGTCGATAGATTGAAGTGAATGAGAAGAGTTGTGTTTCAACTTTACCCAAGTTTATTTTGGCTTTTGAAATTTTTAGCCAAGCTTATTTCTGCTTACATCCACAAAGTTTCTATTCACTCATTTTCTTTTCTTTTAACCCGTTTTCTAAAATGTGTTCCCTTTCTCTTTCTACCGTAATCTTGAGCAAGTAGCAAAAACTCGATCACTCGATCGCTCGATCGATTTGAATAGTTATAACTGCATAAGGTCTTCAGTCAAATGCTGTAATGTTAAATTTTATTCCTTTGCATTATGTTAACACTTGCGAGTTGAATTTTCCGCTTTTTGTTACTTCTGGCAAAAGTATATAATCCTGAATTTGATTTTTTGAATTGGCAATCACGTTTGCCCATGTAATTTTTTCAAGAGCTTTTCATTTTGCGATTACTTCGTTGCAATCGGGTTATTTACCAATCGACTTGATCAGCACAGGGTTTTTTTTAAATTCTTTTGTTTGATTAACAGCTAGTTTTTAATAATAAAGTTAATTTTAATTTGTTTTTAGACCGAAGTTTTTGCTTGCAAAGCGTTGTCAGCCCAAAAATTTGAATGCCGATTTCCACCATTAGATTCCGGGACTAAAAACAACGCAAGCCAAATAAAGAAAGGGAACCAAGGCTTCTGTTGCTAAAAATATGTCTCGAAAACATCCATTCTCTCTACTTTAATTTGATATCTAAGCGCGCAGAAACTAACGTACTGGTGCTGAAATCTGAATGTTTCTTTAAGAGGGGAGCTTCTATTAGAGTATTTACAATAACTATTCAAAATCGAGTTTTACTCCTTGCCGTAATCTTGTCTCCAATTTTTATCCAATCTATTCACTTTTTATCTGACTCCGTGTGGGTTCACAAAGAATCTCGCGAAAGATGCGAAAAGTGGATAAATTGGAAAAATTGGGGACAAGATTACGGCAAAAAGGAGTCACCTTTTAGAAAACGGATTAAAAAAGGGAAAACCCACTTTAATGACTATTGGTTTGAAAGTTTTGCTAGACATTCAAGAATTTTTATAGTAACAATATTAAGCTATAGTTCATATTGAAACTTTAGCCTTTTTTCTCCTTTGTTTTCATAAGAAATTCACCACAAGCCCCAAAGTCACTCTTTTCAAGGAATTCAAATCATTTTTAAAATCCTAACAATAAAAAAAATCTCAAAGTTCGACCCGCCTCAATGAACTTCCTCTCGTGCTCCAAATGTGCCTGATTTTCGATGAAATTCTTGAGATCGGTGTTTTGAAACGAAAGCTGCTCGTTGATATCTCTAAACTTCTTTCATTCATGCAATTTCCCAAATTCTCCCAAACTAGAAATTTTTCTCCATCGTTTTCTGGAGCAAATGGATCGATCGCCCGAGATATGGGCCCAACTCGTTGTCGTTGAAATATTGCGCTGAAACAAAGTGCTTAATAAAGTTTAATCTAATAACTGTTTAATCTCTTTTGGCTTGTACTAATGACGATTATTTTTTTGTGTTAACTCAAGCTTTTCAAGATTTTCTTATTCATTTCGCAGAAAGTTTTCAAGATATTTTGTGTAACTGTTGATATATTAGCGATTTTAGAATGGATGTTTCAATGTTTTTAAGGTCAAACCAATTTCTGACTAAATCAATCAAGTTTATTGCCCTGTTTTTCAAGTTATTTCGTTCTTGTTCAATTGTTTTTTTTTTGTTCTTGTTCTAAATTCTCGTTGTAAGTTCTTGTTCTAATTGTTCTAAATTATTCACTTGTTGGCAAATATTCCTTTGGCACCTTAGAAGAACAATGTTTCAACTTTGGGAAACTTAAGCCAAACCATTTCTCAGCAATTCTTGGTGTGTGTGTTGTGTTTAAACCAATAGATTTTTCAAAACTAAAGTGTTTAACACATTTACGACGATCCGGCCCACATGGGCCGTACTAAAAACGATTATTTTTTGTGTTAACTCTAGCTTTTAAAGCTTTTCTTATTCATTTCGCAGAAAGTTCTTCGTAACTTCTCGTACTAGTTTTCAAGAGGAGATTCAGAGCTATCGAATGAGTATAAAAGTTTAGTTTATCTTTGAATATTCACTAAATTTTCCGGTAAAAGTGTTAGCGACTACGCGAGTGTACGCTCAAAAATGCCGCGAATGTGCTAAAAACACTTTTTTCTAGTATGCTTCAACTTCGCAAAGCTTACACCATTCCATTTTCACCAATCAACCCCGACAAAGTCATTAACTTCTTTCAAAACTAACGAATTTTTAAATAAGCAGCTATGTAGCATTTTAAATTGTTAAATTTGTAAGAAAGTAATTCACAAAGCACAAAAGTTTTTTGACTCAACATTTCCCCATCAACTCACTCGCCAAGTGTTCGGTCAATTTCTTCTCGAAAAGTCTCTCCATTTCAGTCATCAGCTTCAAATTCTCTGCTGTGCTCGTATCTTTCCAGAAATTTGTCTATAAAGTTGTTATTTAAAAATTTGTTAGTTTTTCTACCAAGCTGAATTCGGATCCGCTTTGAGAAACATCGAATTGAGATTCGAACTGAAAAATTCATCATAAATTAATTACAAATTTTCATTCATAAAAGTAGTGAAGTAGATTGAAACTCATTTTTGAAAAACTTTTTAAATTTAAAGCATTTACTTGTTATTTACTTTTAACAGGTGGCTTTAAAATTTCTAGTATATTCTGTACCATTTGAGACGGCTTTAAAATTCATACTTAGCAACTTTACGAGCCATTTTTTGAAAAGAACTTTACTGCTAAAAGCCTTTTAGAGCTTTTGGATCTTTTGGATCTTTTCCAATTTTTGAAAAACCTGTGTTCGAAGCTTTTGCAGCACTCCAGGCTCTTTGTCGTACTTGGCTTCGATGTTTTGCATCGTTGTATCGAAACAGACATCAAATGTCTACATTGTGAATGATTGACTTGAGAATTAGCCAATAATAAATTTGGATTCTATATTCATAAATCTCAAATTTTTGACTCAAAAGCTAGGAAGATTGTATCAAAAAATGTGACTTTGTAAAGATTCTTCCGAAAATCGTCGGTGGTCGCTTTCGAGAAGTTCATCTCGTTTCCCAGCAGCTCAAGACCGGCCATCACCTTGAGAGAATGAAAGTGAGAATGGGATATTGTAAAATAAAGGATATTATATAGTATTAGAATAGAATTATCGGATAATTTAAAAGAGGATAATCGGCTATTCGGTTTAAACAGTCAAGTTCGAGTTTTCAAAATTCAAAATTGAGGTTTCAAGTTTGGCTATTTTCAAACAAAAGCGTTTACTCAATCGTTCTCATGATTTCTTTTTTCGTTTACTATTTGAAATACAAATACCGTATTTTCTCTAATAGTAGTGCACCCGGGCGAGCCGAGTTGGTGACTATTTTACGGTTTCCAAGCTTTTGCAGAAGCTCAACGCTCTAATCCCCCACCAGATCTCATCGTCAGCTACATTTTCCCACCCCACATCGTTAGGTTCTGATAAGCGGTTCTCGAGATTTTGAGCAATTTAGGCAACGCTCTGGGTGCACTACTATCAGAGAAAATACGGTAACTTGAAATACAAATAACTTGGAGCAATTTCTAAAAGATAGAAAATATTTGACAAAAAAAGAATCTTCTCATCACGAACTTTTCCTTGAAACGTTTCGATAAGCATTTTGTTCGCCGAAACGCCGTTGAGAACCGAGGTCAACTTTTCGCTCCATTCAATGGAAAGACTCTGAAAGTTTTTACAAAATGATCTATCTATTTGAAAAGTGTGTAAACACAACCCTTCTGGTGCACTTGATTTTTCATTTTCTTACAAGCAAAATGAATTGAGTGCCCCAGAAAGAAAGTTTAGAGGTTTTAGAGTTCAAAGTAAACACTTAAAAAACAATGCATTAGTGATTTTTAGCTAAAGAAAAAAGCTCTTTATTTTGAAACCATTTTCATTTTTTTCATTGAGAAATCAATTTACAATTTGCTACAAACGAAAAGCTTCTTTCAAAAGAAACAACTCTTTGTGTAAAGATCACTAGTAAATGTTCTGTGCTTTGCAAACACAACCTTTCTGGCGCATCGATTTTTTCACTTTCTTTTTTCCAGCAACGATTCATTTCGTAAAAGAATTTGAAGAATTAAGTACACCAAAAAGTATGTGTTTATCAATTTTGCAGCACAAAGCACGCAAACTATAGCTGACCTCAAATTTCGATGTAATAGCCCTTCCCAAATCGATAATCAGACTATCATGCGAGGTCCCGTCACCCAAAATTTCAATTCTGAATTGGAAAATTTTTAGAAAATTTTAGAAAAATCATTTTTCTACCCAGAAATATTATTCGCCAATTGAATCGTCAACCGGCCATTTTGGTAGAGAGCTTCGGCGAGTTTTCTGTAAAATTTTCTTTCAATTCCAGAGTGACTCATTGAATACCTTTGATTTTGTTATAATTTTATTAGAAAAATTGGCTCTTTCGTAGTTTTTGGGTATTTTGAACGGGTCGTCACACTTTGAAGGCCCATAACTTTGTCCAGAGAGAATATTTTTACTAACTTTTTATATCATTGTACAGAGGACATTTCAGGCTTTCAAATGATACCAAATAGAGCTTGATTGGATAATTGAGTCGGCGAAAATCAGAGCCAACTCCGAAAATGAGCCCTATCCAACTCCAGTGTCGTGTCGCCTTGTCTGCATAGGAATGAAAAATCCAATCTGGCTCTTTTCTGTATTATTTGAAAGCTTGAGATGTCCTCTGTACAATGATATAAAAAGTTAGTAAAAATATTCTCTCTGGACAAAGTTATGGGCCTTCAAAGTGTGACGATCCATTCAAAATACCCAAAAACTACGAAAGAGCCTAAAAGCTAGCTTTTCTCCGATTTCTAACCGGTTCGCGTCTTTCGCAAAAGAGACAGGCAATTTTTCAATGGTTCCATTTTGAAGCATACTGCCGATGCTTGATCTGAAATTTCTCATTTCTGAAAGGTTAAAGCTCATTTTCAAACCCAAGTTTCAAGTTTGCTAAAAGGAAAATGGAGTTCTAGAATTCCATGGTTTTTTTTCCAAAAACTTACGTAAGCTTTTGTTTCAAAACCGAATCCAACGTGCGTTTCATTAGCCAATTATTCCGTAATCCGGTGAGTGTCGCGTTCAAATCCTCCCTGGAAAATCGGTGCTTAGATGGTGCGCCATAAAAAGTGTGTTTACATTTTCTCAAGCCCAAAGTACATAGCCTCACCTCAAATCCTGATTCAATCGATTCAGCTTCGGATTTGTGCGAATCGCTGGCTCGGCAAGCTGTGAAGCAATCTAGAATTGAAAAACTAATACTTGCAAATTTTTTTTCTAACAAGTACACTTATTTTTTTGAACCTGTATTTTTTTCTCGGCTGTCACATTTTTCGAGAGCATCACCCCGACTGTGGTTTGAGCCTGAATTTAAGCAAATGAAAGCAAAAATTCGAAGAAAGCAAATGAAAGCAACAAAAACTCTAAGAAAATTTAATGCTTATCGGTTATATCCCAAAAAAAACTCGTCAAAATCCTTCAGCAAAAAATCCGTTATATTCTCGCAAAATTTGTGTTTTGACTCAATTTGCATTTGTTTTTGACTCAAAAAAAACCCAAGCAAAGAAGCATCTACAGGCAACAAATCTCAATTTTGCTAAATTTAGCGCTTAGCATTTAGCATTAAGAAAAATTTCTAAGTGCTCAATTGATAAATTGATTTTGCAAAATGCTTCTTCTAAACTGAATATTTTGATGCCGCTACATAAAGCCAACATATTGAATGCCAAAATGCTAGATGAAAAATGGAAATTACGGTCGACTCTCTCTATAACGGGATGAAAGGGACTAAAAAATTTTTCCATTATATAAAGCTTGGCGTCGGGACCAAAATTCCATTTCGTTATATAGAGCTTTCCGCTATATCTAGTCTTACTGTACTGTTTTTAGTTTTCTTTCTTTTTTGTGAAAGTATTCTAACAACATTTTATATGCGGTTATGATTGTCTGATTCGCTTCTATTTGATGATTATCTGATTCGCCCCCTGAATAAAGCATATATATAGAATTCTTTTATAGAGAGAGTTGATTGTAGTTTGGTGAACTCGCGTCTGGGATCCTCGAGCAAATTTCCGTTTTCTACCCACTCCTGACTGTGATTATTGTTTGTTTTTTTTGGGAAAATGCAAAATTTTGTGGGAATATAACCGATATACCGAAAATTCTCACCTTGTTGTCATCGAAGAAATCGTAGACTTTCTTGCCCAATTCGGCTAACTGAAAACGAAAATTTAAACTATTTAACGATTTGAAACGAACTTTTTGTTTTGTTAGTCTTACGAATTTGAAGATATTTAGTCAAATCTCTAGACCTCTAGAAATTTGATTTCGAATCGAATATTTGAAGAATTGAATTTAGCTCATTCTTTTAGTAAAACTGAATCCTGAGAAACTGAGACTTTGCTTCAACTTTTAACTATTTAAATTGAACTAAATTCACCCAAACTAGCTCTTTTCCCCAATCGAATTTATCATATTCAATTCGAAGGAAGGTCTAGTTTAAGATTTCAAAGTTCTAAACGATTTAAATGGGATTTAAAATGGTGATGGTAATGGGAGAATTCTTAAAACTAAACAAATTTCTACGAATTCAAAGCTTTCGAATATTTTTTGCTATTTGGACAAGCCTCATTCAACGCCGAGATCGAGTTAAGGAAACCATTAGCCGATTTGGTGAAGAAGAAAATGAATAAGAATAGAGGAATTGATAGATTCATGACGATGCTAGCTAAATGCTAAACGATTTTGCTAAATGATAACGATGCTAAACGATGTTTCGATTTCTGAAGTTACATTAACGTAAACACCAAGAGGAAATCAATATTTAACCAATCTAATCGCAATTGAAAATCTCAAGTTTCAAAGGGATTTAGTTCAAGATGTTCTCTGAGAAGTTAATAAGTAAAAAAACAAATTTTCAAAAAAAACTATAAAAAAGGATGTTTTTCTATGAAGAAAATAGCAATTTAACTCAGCTTTTGTTTTTTTAAAAGTAAAAATGTTCACACAAACTTTAAGAGGCAATTTTTATGCCTGACTGATAAGAAAGTTTTTTCGGAAGCGGAAAAAAAACGTTTTAATTTCCTGGAATGAAAAAGCTTATGGGAAATCAAAAAAATGATTATCAGCTTTAATTTTCGACATAAAAGCAGATGTTTTTGAGCTAAAATGGTTTTTTAAAAAATTTTTGTAAAATTTTGTTAAAACTTTATCAAGTGATCATAAACCTAACTTGGATCATAAACATTTTTGGATGAAATTTTATTTCAAATTTGAAAAGGTTAAGATAAAATGAAAAGATATAATTGTAATTTTTCCCCACTTTTGGATGAGTAAGAAGTTTTGTTGAGAAATGTTTTTCAAATTCTTATGTCAGTTGGCTTTTTTTTACTTTACACTTTTTAGATCAAAGATCAATGTGACTAGGAAACTATTCCAAATTGGCAACGAAAGAGTTTAAAGGCTTAAAAGTTTAGGAGCGAAAGAGTTTAGAAGCCTAAGAGTTTAGAAGCTTAAGAGCTTAGAAGCTTAAGAGCTTAGAAGCTTAAGAGCTTAGAAGCGAAAAAGTTTAGAAGCTCAAAAGTTTAGGAGAGAAAGAGTGTAAAAGCGAAAGAGTTGAAAGGAGTTTATCTGACTCAACTTTTCTTTCAACTTTGGCAACAACAATCAAAATCGAAAAGCAATAGTTTCTTAGCGCCTCAACGCTATAACTAATGCTCTAATGCTATTTAGTCAGAATTTGTTTCAATTACTCAACAAAATCGCTCCCCTTTCAAGAAATCTTCTTTGGGACAAAGCTCATTAGAGGATTGCTTCAACTTAACGTCGACTTGGGATATGGGATCGAGCCCAGAACGATTCTAATTTCTAACTCTAGTTCTAATTTCTAATTCTAATTTCTAATTCTAATTCTAATTCTAATTTCTAATTCCACGCCACCTTGAAATTCTAAAGGATACGTGTTTTTCAGTTTTACTCCATAGCATCTAGTTTTCGAGAAAAATACTGCTGAAGTTTGAGCACTTTTTTGAAAAAACGACGCCGCCGCAGTATGACACCGAATTACTTATCCTCCAATTACTTATCAAAATCTTTCTGCTTCTCTGTTAAAGCACCAAAATCAATTTTTAAGTCTTTTAAAGTCTCTATAAACAGTAAGAAGCTAAAGATGGCTTCTGGAAATGGCAAAAGATGGCTCTTCAAGCCCTCTTTGAAAACCGTATTCAAAATTGTGAGCCTCAATCTTTATGGAGCTTCAAATTTCTCTCTAAATTTTTTTTCTTTATATCCAATCTTTCTAATCTAAAATTTTAACATAATTATCTATGCTTTTGCGTCGAATGATAATAAACACTTGATGGTTGGACGCGCCAGGATCCACTCATTGAAAATCGGCTGAATTTCAAACTCTGGGTTCTGCCGATTTTCAATGAAACGCTGTAGTGCCCGCAATTTTGAACCTAAACACATTTGGTACCAATAGATGCAGAATTTAATCCCCTAAAAAATGCGATAAGATTGTCTTTATAAATTAAAGGGTTGTTCTATTAGGTTGGCAACTTAATAATGACGCGTCACTACTTAACATGTTTTTTGTAATTTCAAGCACCGTTTCTTCCCTCTTTTTTGCATATATACAAAGTAAAAGATGTCTGCATAAATAACATTTAGTGCTCCGAATTTCATCATTCGCTTTTTGGCAAAAAATGGAGGACAAAAAATTCCGTATTCGAGCTGTATTGTTCTACGATTTTTAACAAGGAAAATCACCAGCTGAATCTCATCGCACGATCATCACTGTTTTTGGAGAGAAAAGTATAAACATTGGGCAATGTCAACGATGGTTTCAAAGATTCCAAGGCGGCGATGAAAGCCTCGTAGACGAGCCACACCAAGGACATCCTCCAGAAGTGGTCGATGATGACTTGCTCGCCTTAATTGAAGATTGCCCAACACTCACGGTTCGTGAGTTGGCAGAAATATTTTAAGTATCCCATACGACAATCGAAAACTATTTATACAAACTTGGGAAAAAGAATCGTATTGGAAAATGAGTTCCTCACGAATTGACCCAAAGCAACAAAATGGTCCGTGTCAATGTCGCCTCAATTTTGCTACAAAAATGTAAATCAAACGACTTTTTTCACAGGGTTTTGACTTCTGACGAAACGTGGATCAACTACGAGAACGTTAAACGCAAAAATCAATGGCTATCTGCTGGGCAGACCCCTTAAACCACTCCCAAACCTGATATCCATGGGAAGAAGATAATGCTCTGTTGCTGGTGGAACTTCAAGGGATTGGTGCATTATGAAGTGCTGAAACCTGGCCAAATCGTCGATGCTGATCTTTATTCAAAGTAATTAATGAGAGTTAACGAGTCTTTGAAGAAATTGGGGCTCAAACCGGAGAGAGTCAGATTTTTACACGACAACGCAAAATCTCACACTGCAAAGATCACTTATAAGAAAATCGAGGAACTTGGCTGGAAAGTTTTGCCCCACGCGCCTTATTCACCTGATCTGGCTCCTTCAGATTACTTTTTGTTTCGGTCGCTGAAGCACTTTTTGGAGGGAGAAAAGTTCGATGATCATGCTCGGATCATAAAAGCAGTGAATGACTACTTCGCCTCAAAAACTCCCAAGTTCTTCGAGGATGGGATCCGGAATTTGCGCAGAAGATGGGAAGAAGTCATAGATACTAATGGAGAATACCTTTCGAATTGAAAGCTCTTCTTTTGTGTTTTTTAAAATAAATGATTTGTTACATAAACGCGTCATTATTAAGTTGCCAACCTAATACTAGAAAGGTTCGCCGAAAAGTTTCATTCAAAATCGACTACGACATATATATTGCCAATGGCTTGCTCATTGGGATGCACTGGCTCGTGTTAGAGAGTTTATTAGAATAAAAAAGATTACGGTAGAAAGAGAAAGGGGACACGGTTTAGAAAAAGAAATCGCGAAACACGCCATATACTTGGAATTAATGTTTCTATTAGCCTAGGCTAAATGACTAAATTACGACACATACAGGGTGGCCCACGAAATATGTTTTTGAATTCTAGATGATGCCAGTTTGATCAAAAAGTATTGTCGCGTCTCTTTGGACTAACTTTTATGCAATTTAAAAGTATCCTTTGACGTTGTGTAAAGCATGAATTTGTCAAGAATTTGCCCCAGTTTCTTTCCTCTTTCGAATGGTGCATAGCATTCAATGTGTATTTTCAGAAATGCGAGCTTGTCCTCATCGAGAAGCGATCGCTATGCTTTTGAAAGCCGCAGAGTCGAAGGCGGCCATCTCGCGAAAGCAATCGACTACGATACATACAGGGTGGCCGACGACATTTGACGCAAGGTTTTTGACTTGTAGATGATGCCAAATTTATCAAAACCTATTGAACTCATAACCAAAAATGTAGAAAATTTTCTGTAGTTTCTGAAATTTAGAATTATTAGGTTGTCCAGTTATGAATGCGCGCCTGCTCTTGAACAGCGTACCTTAGGGCTATACAGTTTTATTAAACCCTATTCTCTCTATGCTGTTCAAGATTTCTTATTTATTACAACTTTTCGTGTTTTTGATGTTAAACTAATTCATTTTTGATTTAATTTCCGTGTTTAGATGACCGAGACGAAGTTTCGTCTTCGTGCCAATCTTTGGTCTGACTTCAAATTGGGCAAAAATCGCGTTGAATCGAGATCTCTGCAAAGTATTTGGCGAAGATGCTATTTCGGAAAGCCAGTGTCGCCGATGGTTTCAACGATTTCGAGAAGGAAATGAATCTTTGGAAGACGAAGACCACCAACGACGACCTCCTGCGATTGATAATGCAGTACTGAAGCAGGCGATAGAAATGGATCCTGGACAAACTACACATGAACTTGCAGAAATATTTAGAGTAAGCCCTCAAACAATTTCCGAGCATTTACATCAATTGGGGAAAGCAAACCGACAAGGGAAATGGGTTACTTATCTTCTCAGCAATGCCAATAAAGCTACTCGTGTCACTATGGCGGGTATTCTTCTTCGTTGTGCAAAAAATACTGGGTTTTACGATGAAATCCTTACTTGCGATAAAAAATGGATTCAATATGATAATTCTACACGAAAACGGCAATGGCTAGAACCTGGTGTGGAGCCAATACCAACACCAAAACCCGACTTCCTTGACAAGAAAGTAATGCCTACTGTCTGGTGGAATTCCCAAGGCATTGGGTATTTTGAGCTGCTTAAACCTGGGCAAACAATCACGGGTGAAACGTATGCACAACAACTGGAACGAGTGAACAGTGTATTGCTACAAAAAGGCCTTGATCCTTCAAGCATAAAGTTCATTCAAGATAGCGCCCGTCCACACGTTGCAAAGATTGTTCAGGAAAAACTCAAAGAGTTGGGCTGGGAAACTCTCCCGCATCCGCCATATTCTCCAGATATTTTTCCTTCGGATTACCATTTATTTCGCTCAATGCGAAACCATTGGGCTGGAAACAGGTTCAAAGATGTTCAAGAGGTCGAAAAATGGTTAGCCGACTTCTTTGCCTTAAAACAAGCCGATTTTTACGCCGAGGGAATTCATTCTTTGCATGGAAGATGGGAACAAATATTGTTAACAAATGTTGAATATATTGTTTGATTGAGCTCTTAAACTGTTGGTTTTAAAATAAAGAGTTGTTATCTTAAAAACGCGCATTTATAACTGGACAACCTAATATAT